TCCTCTCCTGGCCGGGAAGAAATCCTTTGCTATACCATTGATTAGGATTGAGTACTGAGTTGAACTTTAGCATCCTTTGATCCAAGCCCTCCATCTATCTCCGAATCCGAATCTTTCTAAAACTTTTAGAAGGACATCTCAATTAATCAAGTCATAGGCTTTTTCTATATCTACCTTACAAACCAGCCCCTTTTCTCTATCCTTTCTTCTTTCCCCTACACATTCATTAGCCACAAAGATTTGATCCACAATCTGCCTTCCTTCTACAAAAGCTCCTTGAAAAGGAGAGATGACCGAGGGTAAATACCTTTTTTAGTCTTTCTACTAAGACCTTTGACAGAATTTTGTAAACACTCCCAATGAGACTTATTGGTCTAAAGTCTTTAGGGGTTTTGGCCTCCCTCTTCTTTGGAATCAAAGTGATAAAAGTGGCATTTCCTCCTGGTGATACCTCCCCTTTGGAGAAAAATTCATTAAAGACTTCTAGGATGTTTGATTTTACTATATCCCAACACTCGTGATAGAAGGCCATGGAGAAGTCATCCGGCCCAGGGGCTTTAGATCTGTCCATTGAAAAAATAGCTTCCTTGATTTCTTGTAGAGAAAATCTCCTTTCTAGGACACGAGATTGTTCTTCTGATAAAGTATCCCCTTCCATCTTTGGCAATTCTGGCAACACTCCATGTGGGCTTGAGAAAATTTCTTTAAAATGATTTACAAAAATCCTTGTAATCCCCTGGCTTTCTCTTACCACTTGTCCCTCTTCCTCCACACTCAAGATTAAGTTCTTCTTTCTCCTTCCCATTGCAAGAGAGTGAAAAAACTTAGTGTTTCCGTCCCCCTCTGCAAGCCACTAACATCTTGATTCCTGTCTCCAACAAATCTCCTCCTTTCATAGTATCTCTTCAAGTTTTTGCTTTTGATTCCATCTTTCCCCTCTTTCTTCTTCTAAAATGACTCTGAGAGCCTCTTTCCTATCTAGCTCCTCAATCCTTTTAACCAAACTATCTTTTATTTCCTTTACCCTTCCGAAATGGGCTTTATTCCATTATTTTATTTTTTTCTTTTAACCTCTTTAGTTTTCTAGAGAAACCTACCATTTTCAACCTCCCCAAAGGTCTGAGTGCCTCCCACCACTCCTTTAGTCTAATCTTAAAAGTAGGGTCTTCAAACCACATGTTCTCAAATATGAACGGAGAAGGGCCTCCCCTTGGGATTTCTTTCTCGATACAAATAAGGCAATGATATGAGGTAACTCTAGGTAAGCCTCTTGATATCAAGGATCCCCACATTTCTTCCAACTCTAGAGATAAAAGGAATCTGTCTAGTTTGGAGCAGGTTGGGGGGATTGAAAATTTGACCAAGTATAATCTACCTAAAGCAAGGGAGGTCTCTTAATTCCAAAGAGTCTATTAGCCTATTGAACCTCCTCATGCTAGTAGTAAATCCCTGATTTGGGTTGTTTGATTCCCCCGAATATCTGATGACATTGGAATCACCCCCCACACACCACGGGCCATTCCACAATCCCCTGATGGCACATAATTCCTCCTAGAAAGCTTTTCTTTCTCTGTAAGAATTAAGGCCATACACATTTGTTAAAGCCCATTCTCTTCTGTCCATCTTTCTTTTAATTTGTAGGGAAATTGAATACTGGGCAATCAATTCTTCCATACATTCCATTTCCTCATTCCTCCATATGGTTAGAATTCCCCCTGAAGCTCCCCACGAGGGTGTATATGACCAACTCAAACCCCTGTCTCCCCAAATGCTCCTTATCCACCTTCTATTCAGCTCTGGTAATTTGGTTTCTTGAATCATGATCAAATCTGGTTTTTCTTTCCTGATTAACCTTCTCTTCTTGGCACTTCCTTATCCTCTAACATTCCAACTTATTATTTTCATCTTAGTGGTTTTTGACACCCCTGGGATGGTACTTCTCAACAATCCCCTCTTCTTTTCTTCCCATTTTCCTCCTTCTCATAATTTATTCCACTCTTAAGCTTCTCAATCCCAATAATTTTCCTTTTCCTTTGCTTACTCTTTTTTCTCAAGTAGACTTTTTTTCCTTCTGCCTTTGTATCGCCCACCCTATCTCCTTCTAACCCCTCCTTTCCCTCCTACCCATCTTCCTTTGTCCCCTCCAAGGTTTCGTTCTAGGGTTGCTTTGTCTGGGTAGTGAGTGGGTTTAAGCTAGCATCAACACTATCCAAACCTAGGGTTCGGTCAGCTAAAACTTCCAGGATTAATGATATAACCCTAGCCCTCTCCTTCTCTACTCCATCTCCCAATAGATTCTTTGGCTCCAAAAATGTGGCACTTTGGATTGAGAGTTCCATGGTAGGTGGGGTTATGACAGGACCTGCAGAGGTAGCCAAGAACAAATTAGAGCCCTCTTTATAAGGAAGCAAAGGAGAGGAAAAAAGAACAAGAGATAAAGGTGTAGGGGTTCCCTGGTTCGGCACATCCAAAACCTTCCTTCGATCGATACCGGATGACTGAGAGTCCCTGGCAAGTAACACTGGGATAGCATCTAACTTATGTTCCTCTTGTGTATCTATGCTTCGGATAGTGTTGATATCTTGATCTCTGTCTTGGATATCCTGAGGTTGTGTCTCCCTTGGTATTTCTCTTGGATCACTGTCGGCTACAACTAGGTCCGCCTTAGGGGATGAGGCAAGTCTCACCTCTATTTCTTCTTCTGGTGACAATACAAAGGTTCTAGAGGGTTCTTCAAACAGTAGATGTGTCCCTATCATCTCATCATTCCACAGATTAAAAGCTTTAGTGTGTGAAACACTTCCAATGCTGCTTTCATCATGCCAAACATCTTCTTGCCTTGGATCTTCCCAATCGTCTTCTTCTTCGGAGTCTTCACGCTCGGACCTGTTAAATTTCGGATTCGGCTTGTCTGGGGTTGTGGAGTTCATCTTTGCAACCAGCGTCCATTTCCAGTTGCTCTCTGACTAGACGGTTTTTACTCCAGCGTCGTCGTCGACTACTTTCAGAGGGGTTCCGAAGATGTTTTCCACACCCACTGCAATAGAGGAGGTTGCAGGGGTCGATTTGGATGACGATAGACCCCAACAACCATCCCCAAACCTTTGGGTCGACCGCCCATGTGACTTTAAGTGGTCACATGACCTATTTAAGTTACCTGGTTCAACCAGTTTAGACCCTGGGTCCAGTTTTGGTGCCCTTTCAAAATTTGTCCTTTTATTTCCGCCCCCTCCAGCTACCACATCAGCATAGGATTTTTTCTTAGCTCGATGATCTGAAATGAATGCCTCAAATTCTAATCCTTCTTTAGAATTCTGACTGTCATCTTTCGAGTTTGTTGTCTGCCCGTTTTCCTTCTCCTTGCAAAGACAATCAGCCTTCTCCTCTAAGCTTCTCCATTTTTTACCTTTGCCACGTCATCGTCTTCTACCTCTTGCAGGATTCTACATAGTCTCTCTTCCACCAACGACAGCAACCAGACTACCTCATGTGTGTCGCCTACCTCCAATCTCACTGTTCTCGATATTGATTCTACTTTAACTCCCCCAGTTTCATTGAAACTGCTCTAATATTAGATACGTCCACTTCCTCCAGAACACCGCCGCACAGATCTGCGATTTATTTGAAGTTTTCACAGGACCAAAGATGAAATGGGAGTCCTAGCACCTTGATGCAAAAGGTTTTTGTCTGATCTTACACGATTCTCATTCAGACACCACTGACAGATCACCATTACTCCTTTAGCAGTCTGAATGGGAAGAGCATGTATTTCTTCCACCTGATTGTCTGCTTCTAGTTCTAGTAATGCCTTATCTTCTTGAAATGGCCGAAGAACGATGCTTCCGTCCACTTTCAGTTTTCTTTTAATCTCCTCTGCGACACATCCCCAGCTGCCTACTCTTTTGTTTGCAAGTATCACATATTTTTTACGTCAGTTCTGGTATGCTTGGTCTTACTTCCCTGCAACTTCCTTTTCACCAACTGTATGCAATAGATTTTCTAGAGCTTGGTTGGGTTGGATATTCGTTGGCCTGTTTTCGTTTCTCCATAAGAACATCTGCAATTCCTTTACGAACAGCAACCACCCCTTGCTCTGTTTTCCCATAGGAATACAAATCATTTGTCTTCTACCTTCACCGAACCATTCTGAAACTGTTACAAACCAGCCCTTCCTATTTAGTCGAAGTTCAGCTACAAACTCCTTTCCATTGGTTTTGATTGAGTTCTTCCAGGCTTGCATTTTCCTTGACACTAAAGCTACATCTAGGAAACCTTTCAGCCATGCTACTACCTCCCTTTGGATATACACTGTGGCTCTTTTTTCTTCTCTTATCTTCAGAAATACCAGAAGCCTCGTTTTCACTTCTTCTAGTTTGTATTGCTTTGCTTCGAACGAGATTTCCTTTCTCCACCTTCCCACTACTTCGAACTCTCCCTCCATGACTTTCTTCAAAATCTCAATTTTTCCCGTTCCACCATGTATTGATGAGCCACTTAATTATGTGCAATGATTACTTTGCATCTAAGTACTTTTCAAAAAGAACAAGTTAAAGCAAATTGGCATCAAATAAAAAGTCAAATATAGTATTCAAACATTTAGGAAAAAAAAGAAAAAGAAAAACACAAACTTGTCAACAAAAACAAGATCAAGTGGTTGGAATTTTCACCATAACCATGAGTCTGTAGGTGGGATCCCAGCTTACAAACCAAAACACATAAGAGATTTTTGTCCCCAAAAAATATAACATAATAAAAGAGGTAATAGAAAAAGAAAAAGAAAAAGAAGGTCAAGTTCGGCAGACCCAATTTTTTATATCTGAGAAAGCTCCATGATGAAAGTGAAACAATGATAATATTTGTACATTAGAGATAACTTTTTAAGCAAATATGGCAACACTTTCTCTTTTAAAAATAAGTACTTTTGTATTAGAGTTACACCTGGTTTATACTAAAATGGAATTTTCCCAAGTCACAACCCAAAGAAAATGATCAAAATATACCTTGCCATTGTCTTGCAGATAGTGTGGAACCAGCTCTCTCATAATCGGAAGGGAAATTTCAGAATGTAACCTGAGGCCAAACAAGCATCTTTCAGATACTCACAAGATAAACACATTGGTAAGAATCCAAAAATAATTAAAAGATGTCAAACCATATCATATGACATTGACAGTATCTGTTGTAGTGTAGTTTTTTTTTTTTTTTTTTGCGAAAATTTAACCAATCTGTTGTAGTGTAGTTTGCTGGTTTCTATCCCATTTCTTATATGTTTTTACTAGGACCAGGGGTATTTACGTCTTTTCCCTTTATATTATGGTTGCTCTATTATAAATAATAAGTGGAGCCGCCAAAATACTTGTCTCTCTTCTCTTCCTCTCTTCTACTCTTCTACTCTTCTCCCAAGGAAATCTAACACTGAAAACATGGTATCAGAGCCATAGATCTGATTAGAAAGGACTTCTCTAGTTCTCTATACTGTGCTCTTTCCATCCTTTTTGGTTTTCTTCACCATACTTGGAGGAACAACAGAACACATTGATCTGACCGAAGCAACTCCTCTTTTTCTTTTATTTTATTCTTTGTCCTTGGTTGTAGAACCAAGGCAGATTCTTTCAGACCTGTTCGTGGACCATGCGAAAAGTTCCTATTTGGAAGTTTTCTTCCCTATTAATGATCTACAGGTACTGACACCCTAATGGAATATTCCAGCAGTTCGTGGGATGTCTGAGTGACCTGTTTAATGCATCTATCCCCTTCAATTTCTGGTGTGGGATCACAACTATGTATACAGCTGCATTCAGTTTATGTTCCAATGCACTAGGCTGGTCAACAATCAAAAAAAAATGCCCTAGGCTGGTCAACTATGTATACAGCTGCATTCAGTCTATGTCTGTCTCCTCTTTTACACTTTTACAATGCCAGACTTGTCAACTGAGCAAACATTGGGACATCTTTCCCACTCCAATGTGTGGGGTCCTGCTACCATTTTGGCCAACGGAGGCTACAGATTCTTTATAACATTTAATGATGACTATTCTCGCTATACATGGGTATATTTGCTTCGTTGTCGTTAAGGATTTCTCACATATGGTGTACACTCAGTTTCATGTCGATGTTGAGATTTTTCAATCGATAATGCCAAGGAGTACTTCACTGCAGATATCAATGAACATTTCTCTGTAAATGGGATGTTACACCATAGCTCTTGCACTCAAACACCTCAACAAAATGGTGCTGCAGAAAGAAAAAACACACTTGTTAGAAGTTATTTGTGGATTAATGTTACAGATGCACATGTCAAAGAAATTTTGGGGTGATGTCCTTCTCAAACTTGATCAATTATATGCCTAGCAGAATTCTTGAGTAAAGGGCCCCATCAGCTCCTTCATCCCCAAACTCCTCTGATTTCTATCCTCTTTGGGCTTTTGGGTGTAAATGTTCTGTTCATGAATCATGACTAGTCGCCTTCACAAGGTAAACTTGGCCCTAAATCTATTCCTTGTGTCTTTCTCAGGTATCCTTCTTCTCAAAAGGGTTATAAGTGTTATAACCCTATGACCTCTTAAGTCTTAGGTTTCTTTAAATGTCATATTCTTTAAATCCCAGTCTTATTTCCCTACCTCATCAGGGGAGAGTTGTGATGAGAGGGGCAAAGGCAAGTTCTGTTTCCTATGTCCATTCCTGTCACTTCTACAAAATCCTCTTGTTTCATCCCCTTCTCGTACTTCTCCTCAGGGGGAGGTATCCTACTTGTCCTTCGTGTCCTTGTCGTCCTTTTCTCGTGATCCTTATCGTCGGTAGGTCCAATATGTGCCACCAATAGTAGAGCAGCCAAAAACTGTGGTCCCTTACTCTCGCCACCTATCATTTATGATCTTAATGTTCCTATTACACATCGTAAGGGTGTCATATCTTGCACTACCAAGCACCCTATTGCTCACTACACCTCTCTTGATTCTTTATCTTCTTCCTACTATGCATACATTTCTACTACGTCTAGTGTGTCTATACCTAAATCCATTGCAGAGGCCCTAGAATCTCCTAAATGGACATATATGCAATGTTGGAAGACGTCAATGCCCTACTAAGAACAACATGTGGGAACTAGTTGATCTTCCTAAAGGAAAACAAACCTATTGGGTGTAAGTGGGTCTCTATAGTAAAGCACAAAAGTTGATGGATCCATTGAAAGATATAAAGCGAGACTGGTAGCAAAAGGTTTCACGTAGATGTATGGTGTTTAATTACATGGAGACATTTGCAGCCATTGCAAAGACGAACTTTATACAGGTTTTATTGTTCTTGGTAGCCAATTAGGGATGGCAACTTCATCAACTTGATGTGAGAATGTTTTCTTGAATGAAGGCTTAGAAGAAATGTACATAGTTAAGCCTCCAAGTTTTTTATAAAAAATGAAGTGAAGGGAAAATTTGTCATCTCAAGAAGTCTCTATATGGATTGAAACAATCATCAAGGGTGTGGTTTGGCCGATTCAACAAAGCAGTTCAATAGATGGGGTTCAAACAATGCCAATCAGATCATATGATGTTTGTGAAGAAGAAAGCTGGAAAATTGTTGTTCTCATTGTATATGTGGAAAATATCATCATCACAGATGAATGGGAGATAGAGATACAAAGGTTGAAACAGTTCCTGGCTTCTCAATTTGAGGTTAACGATCTAAGTCCTCTTAAATATTTTCTTCGGATTGAAGTTGCTAGGTTAAAACAGGGCATCTTCATTTCCCAACAGAAATATATCCAAGATCTCTTAACAAGATACAGGTAAACTTGGGTGTAAACTAGTTAACACTGCAATTGAGCCTAATCATAGGTTGGGAGATTGTACAAGGGATTTTGTGGTAGATGTTAGATAGTTTCAAAGACTTGACGGGTGGTTGTTATACCTTTCTATGACCCAATCTAAAATTACATATGTTGTTGGTGTTCTCAGTCAGCATATGCATGCTCCTAAAACATCTCGTGTCTTAGAAGCTAAAAGAACATTTAAGTATTTAAAGAAACATCCAGTTAGATGTGTATTGTTTGCTAATAATGGACACTTAAGGGTTGAAGCCTACACAAATGCAGATTAGGCAAGCTCTATAGATGATAGGTCATAGGAGGTCAACTTCTAGAAATTGCATTTTTGTGAAAGGGAACTTAATAACTTGGAATAAGAAGCAATCAATGGTGGCCCGCTCAAGTGCAAAGGCAAAGTACCGTGCAATAGTAAATGGGGTGACTAAGATGTTATGGGTAAAAAATATGCTTCTTGAGTTGGGGCTTCCTGTGATCAGCCCAAAGTAATTATATTGCGATAACAAAGCTACTATTAGTATTGTCAACAACCCTATTCTCCATGAAAAAACGAAGCATATTGAAATTGACAAGCACTGCATCAACGAGAAGTTGGAGACCGGAGATATTTGTACTCCTTACATTACCTCCTCGAATCAGTTAGCATATATTCTTACAAAAGGAGTCCCCACCTCTCTTCATATGGATCTTTTTAACAAGTTGGGAATGATTGATATTTATGACCCAACTTGAGGGGGAGTTTTGTAGTGTAGTTTGCTGGTTTCTATCCTGTTTCTTATGTTTTTACTAGCATCGGGAGTATTTGTGTGTTTTTCCTTTGTACTATGGTCACCCCATTATAAATAGTAAGTGGGGCTGCTGCCCAAACACTTTTGACAGCTCCAAATTCTTGTCTCTCTTCTCTTCCTCTCTTCATCTCTTCTAAGGAATCTAACACTGAAAACAGTATCAACTTCTCACACAATTAACCAACAAGAAAAAAGAAAAAGTTTCCATGAGTTCAGGTGCTTGTGGCAGCTGCAACATGTTTATAAGAGCCATGTTAGAAGTTTTTTGTAGTAGACAGCAGGCTATTCAAGTCTTTTCAAATAGCTCGCTTAAGTAGGGCATTTTGGTTACTTTGATTTGCATTAGAGAACATATAAATACAAAATGGCTAGTAGGTGGACATTTTTTCTCTCTCCAGTGATTGTTCTTTTCTTTCTTCCTCTATGTTCTCTCTTATTATGTTCAGTCTTCAAATTGATTTATGACATGAGCAGGATGGGCAATTGAGATTGAGGATGTTACCCATAGAATTAGAGCAGGATGGGCAAAACGGAAGGGGGAAACCAGAGTCTTATGTAATAGGCAAATACCACTTAGATTTAAAGGAAATTTCTATAAAATAGTTGTAAGGCCAGCTAGGCCGTATGGAGAAAAATGTTGAGCAGTCAATAAACATGGTGTCCAAAAAATGGGTAGCAGAAATGCATATGCAAGATGGATGGGTGAAAAAGTAAAGACTCTTGAGCTTCCTAGTCTTCATAGAATTCTGGAAATTCTGGATGGTGTTCTAGGACCCCTTAAACTCTGATGGTTAGATATGGACTCACTCTCCTTCAGGTTCCTTTACTTGTGCGTCCTTCCTTTAAGGTCTTTACTCAGCCCTCCATTCCAATGCAGCCATTTACTGTAAAAGAAATTTGGTGCAGATCAATTCCACATAAAATCAAAATTTTCCCTTGGGAAGTTTTCATAGGAAAGTTAACACTTGTGACTTGTGTCAAAAGAGGAGACCTTCCTATTGTTTATCTCCTCATTAGGGCATCCGATGGCAAAGCGAATGGTGAGATTTTCTATCACTTTCTAATCTCCTGTCCATTTGTTTCTTGTATTTGGATTTGGTTTTTTTCTTTATTTAGGTGCAAGTAGAATCCTCCAGCCAGTTAGTAAAATCTTTTTGCTCCCACACTTGAATACACAAATTCAAAATCCAACAGCCCCATGACGAAGTTTCGAGTATTTGAGAGGCACCTCTAAAACAGCACAACCCAAGGAAATGGCAGTCAATTTCCTAATCCCTCACCACATATTCTAAAAAGTAAATAAATGCAATAAACAATAACATATCCATGAAATGCAAGCAGAACACAATCGCGTTGCCCCTCCCCCACCATATATCTCCTTAAAATTCCATGATCATCTGCTTGACTTACTAATCCAAAAGCTTTCCAATAGCCTGATATGACCCAGAAACTTCACACACAGTTCTTAGACTCACAGCAGAGTTCACACACTCGAACATCAACAAAAGAAACTAGTATTCATTCAGCAGAAAACATTAACAGTTGGTCAGTTCTTCGAGAGACCGCCGGCTCTCCCAAACACTCACAATATTCTTCACTCAAAGAAAAACATACCACCCCCATCCCCCAAAGCCCCTTCTTATACTCTACTGATAGCATAACTGACTCCCTCTATAAATGCCCAGCTGGCCTAGTTATAAATGCCCAAAAACTCTTCTTATTCATAACTGACATAGCTATAAATGCCCCAAGACTCTCCTTATTCCCTCCAGCTATAATTGCCCTCATGTGATTAATTGTTCAATTATTTCCCCCCCCCCCCTTAGCTGATTGTTGACCTTTCCTCTTCCTGGCATTAATTGGGGCCTATCATAGCCATTAAAGTTTAAACGCAATAAGCTAATCCTTTACTTGCATTCTTTTATACAAATAGGTCATTCCCCATTCCAACCATTTTTTCCTTTATTCTATCAAATAGGCCACTATCATTTTTGTTTATTCTAAACTCTTCCACAAAATAGATTGCTTGATGAGGCAAGCACCACCTTTGCATCACTGGTCCCATTATATTAGGAGGTCCAGTCACCACGATTGCCTTAAATACATTGTACAGAAATAAACAACCAATTAAGTACTTAGTGCAAGTGCACAAAAGTAACTGGAGTTATCTAACCACTAGAAACAAATGTGGCAACACAGATAAAAGAACAAGAGAAAATTAAAAAAAAAAATGTGAAAAATCTTAGGTACAGAAAGGACATACTGAATATGTGCAGACAATGGGAGTGCAGCATAACCAACTATCACCTGCAAGTTCATTTGACATAATGAGCATTTTGTCAGTTTTAAACTATCATACAGGATTAGAAGTTTAAATTGCATAAATTTTCATATGCATAAGGTCTGTCATCAATATTTGCAAATCAACAAAAATATGAATGTGCAAAAACATATAGACAGCCCAGAACATATTCATGATGTAATCAAAATAACTGTGGCTTTCCAAGCTCAAATAGACAATGAAGCATGCTCCAGAATTCTATACTTGAAATGGACTTAGAAAATTTTTAACACAACAACTTACAGGTTTTGGAGCTTCAACTTTTGTTTGAAGATCAATATGAAAGAAAGTAAATAAAATATGATGTTGCGGTGCCAAAAGAGCAGGAAGACAGAGCTTAATTTCATCATGGTAACAGGCCACCCGAGCACCAACAGCTACTTGGGTATGAACCCACTTCTGAAGCGATAAACCTGGGCCTCTTGGATACATTGCCTAGTACAAAGAGTGTCAGCTAATGGCGTTAATAGATCTCTATTTAACTGTTTCTAAAATTTGACTAACAAACACGTACCTCAACAGGTTGCTTACGGATATCTGCATCATCTTTTCTCAATTCCACCCTTATAAATAAATTCCTTTTCCGACTCAAATTGACAGTCAATGGATACAAATAAAGACAATGAAGAAGCTCTGAAAATGGTTCACTTCTTGTCATAGTACGGAAGTCAAAAGCATGGAACTGTCAATGAACCAATATAGTTGATATTAACCAAAAAATTGAAACATAAGCCAATACGTGCAAGAATTCAAGAGAAATCATACCAAAGAATCAATAGACTTCTTGAATCATGATAAACTTGCAAAGTTATACATGGTGGAAAAAGTAGTAATTAAAAATTTTCTTGTATGAAGTTTCATTTGAATAACAGACTTCTTGAATCAAGACAATTTTAAACAGTTACACATGGTGGAACAAAGTAGTGATTTAAAATTTTTCCTGTTTGCAGTTTTATTTGAATCAGCAACCACTGAGCTTGAAAAAGCTTTTCATCATAGTTAGCAAAGTAGACCCTCTTTACCAAAACTGTAGAACCAACATAACAATGAAACTTCATGTTCTAAGATCTTGCCACACTATTTTATTTACATGTTAGACCCATTACGATACAAATGATTTGTATTATTTAGTTTATAATCTTATTGTAATTAATAAAATAATGGTATGTAAACTAAAAGAATAGGCTAAACCCCTTTTGTTAGGGTAACGTTAGTTATACAACCCAACTTGTAATTTTGCATGCATGGTTATATGGTTACCCCCCAGTACAACAGTTTCCTGTTCACCCCCTGTTTCACAATTGAATCAACCTATTGCTAATTTACAATACATTACAATTAACCACCATAAAGGAAAAAAACATGCATATCTTGTTTTAAACTGCTACACCAGATTTAAGTTCACTATGACATAAGTATCTTAAAGTCTAAAGAAAGTCTGGTGTGCTGATTATTTATGCATTTAAACCACTCTTAAATAACATCACTTCTTTCTGTTTTTGTTGATTTATTCCTTTCTCTCTATTACAAACTTTAGGTATTATTGGGAAACACAATCATGGTTGTTTCCACATATTCTCCAACAAAACACTCCCATCAGAGGTCAGCAAAACCTTATTCTAACTATATGTGGGTCGGGGCTACATTAATCCTGTTTATCCACTCCACGTGACTCTACCAAGGACCACAAACATTGTTCACCTTTCTTGGGTGGACAAAATCTCCACACTGGGAAGCAAAAGCAGAACCAATGTGGCAACTGCTCTATCTTGCAATGCCTCTGATGCTAGTTGCTTGGGGGAACCTCAGTCTAGTTCATTTCCTAGGAGTAATTTTTCACCTCCCTTTCCCAGGAAGCAGAGCAGAGCCAAGGTGGTAATTGCTATTGTGATGTCTGTGAACCACTGGTTCTGGTTGCTTCAGGGAACCTCACTCTATGTCATTTCCTAGGAGTAATTGGGATTCCACCTGAGGGGTCTCTTTGGCAGTTATGGTTGTTTACCCTTTTTATCAGTAACAAAGTATTCATTGATAATGAAAGAAATATACGTTCAAAGTGCATCATAAGATGGTAGATATAGCCACAGTTAACCACCATTACAAAAATTGTTGCTTACAAGTCCCCCCCCCCCCGAGAGACTAAGCCCGACAACAAGTGCTGTTTTTTGCTAACCCATCTGCTAGACTGTTGGCAGATCTAGGTATCCACATGATGCTAGTCCACAGTTCATTAATTATATCCCTGGCCATGCATCTGTACCCCCAAGTACCCACCTAATTTGTTCCCAACCACTCCATTACAACACAACCCATGAGTAAATCCAATAACTTTCAAGACCCATGAGGACAGCACTGAGCTCTGCTTGGTTAAAGCCCTAACCCCAAATAGGACCTGAATATATAGCTGTTATATTTCCACAATATCCAATTAATTATGCCTCCACTCCTGAGAACCCTGGGTTTCCAAGATTGCACCCATCAAAATTCAGCTTGAAATATGGGGAAGGTGGAGGGCTCCATTCAGCTGTAATCTGTGATCTAGCTCAAGAGGATTCAGCAACTATTTTCCAATTTATAGTTGTTTACCCTTTTGAGAGGCATGAAATTATATAGGTTGTATACATGGAGTAGGTGAGCTTGGAGCTCTGTTTTTCCTCTTTTTATCTTCTTCTATGCTTTTTTTTTACCACAGCATCCTTTTTATGAACCCCCTAGGCAATCAGAGAGAGAGAGAGAGAGAGAAGATAAATTATACCAAGCCCATTGAAAGAATATGAATGTTGAATGTGAGCTTAATACTTACATCATCAGCACTGAAATCAGGATTATTTCCAGTAACAACACTGGAACCATTTCTGCGCAATTCTTTACTCTCAAGGACATTCCATCTAGAATTGCCATTCCGAGCACCTTCAGAACCATTACTGAGGCATTTAGAGAATGCAGAATCAGCAAAACGGTCGCCAGCATCAATTGAATCGTTGGTCACGCTGCCACATTCTGAAATATTGTCCAGATCAAAATGGCCAGATTGTAGCTTTTCAATTTCCAACCTCAGAACACCTTTCACTGGCTTATGAACCTTCCGTTTAGGATCCTATCAAAGAAAATTTTTAGGGTGTTAAAGAACAACATAAGATATTAGATACCATTAGTTTTGGACTCTAGAACAAATAAGCAGAACAGAATTTTAAATTGAGCGAATTTCTTAAGGGATTATTTCAATTTCACTGAGTTCATAGTGCACTAAAAATACAAATCTCGGCCATGAGGCAATTCAATTCTCTATTCTATTTTTGAGAATAAAAAAACAAGTTAAACAGTTTCAGGATTTCCAAATGCCAAATATTTAAAAAAAAAAATTGTGCAAACTACATGATTCAAGAAGAGTTGGCTGGTTTTTTGGAGGGGAATTCGTCAAGTAGATAACTTGGAGGAGTTGGCTGTTGGCTTGTCAGGTGAATTATCTCCCAGTGAAATACCTAGGGCTTCCCCTTGGGGCAAAATGTACCTCCTCTTCTATTTGTGACCCAATAATTGAGCAGATGGAAAAGAAATTATCTTCCTGGATGGCAAAATATCTCTCTTCAGAGTGTAGAGTGACTCTTATAAAGAGTACTCTTTCAAACGTTCCTACTTATTTTCTCTCTTTATTTCCTTTCCCTTCTAAAATAGCCAAGAAATTAGAGACCTTGCAGAGAAGCTTCCTTTGGAGAAGCTGGGAAGAAGAAAAAAAAACCCATCTTGTTAATTGGGATCAAGTCTGCTTGCCAGTGGAGGAAGGTGGCTTGAGAATAAAGAAAATAAAGGTATTTAATACTGCTCTTCTGAGCAAATTGGCTATGGAGATTTGGGTCTGAGAAATTCTTGGTGGAGGATTCTAATAGCCACTAAATATGGTGTCGATTGGGGTAACTGGATCTCCTTGGACCCTCTACCCAGCTGGGGTTGCTCTCTCTGTGGAAAGGAATCATGAAGTCACTCACTGTTTTATTTTATCAAGAAGTCACTCCCTGTTTTCTCTGAGGGTTTGGGTTTCAAGATTAGCAGAGGTGATAGGCTGAGATTCGAGAAGTATCCATGGTGCTTGGATAGCCCTTTAGAGGTTTTCCCCCTCCTCTTTCAGTGTTCTCTGTTAACCAAGATGCCTCAGTAGCTGACTCCTGTGATATGACTGAGAGTTTCTTGTCCTGGAGCCCTCAGTTTAGATGAAACCTTTTTGACTGGGAATTGGATGAGATGTTGGGGTTGCTGCAGCTCTTACAGAGGCAAGCTATTTCTACAAACCTTGAGGATGAGTAGAGATGGAAGTGGAGTGGAAATGGCTGTTATTCAGTTAAACCCTTGGCATCTAACCTTAGCAAGGCAAACATTATTGGCTTCCCTAGCAAATAGGTCTGGAACCCAATGACTCCTTCTAAGTCAATTTTTTTGGTCTGGGTTTTGGTGCTGAATAAACACCTTTCTAAAGCCAATCTGGGTAGGCAAGGGATGCAGCTCCAAGATCTGAAGTGTGGTCTATGTGGGCTCCTTCCTGAGACTACTGATCACCTAAGCAATCATTGTTCTATCTCTGCTAAGGTTTGGGAGCATTTCCTCAAGGCTACTGGCATTTGCTGGGTCATGCCGGGTTCTGTCAAAGATTTAATATGTTGCTGGAAGCTGCCTAGTTTGAAGAAGAAAGGGAAGCTGATTTGGAAAACCATTCCTACAGCTGCTCTTGTGTCAATCTAGTCTGAAAGATGAGCTAGTCCAGAATGCTGGGAACAAATTGATCTCTTGGATATTTGTAATCAATGAGTTTAAGCACCACAATATGTTCCAGTTGATTAACTCTCATTCTTTGTGGAATTTGTAAGCTGGTTTTTTTTCCTGGTTAATCCTCATTCCTCTGTCTGCCGGGAAGTTGCTGTACTATTCTCCTCTTTCATCAATAAAATCTTTACATTACCTTTCAAAAAAAAATTTAAGGGGTGAGGTGTTGATGCAAATATGCAATGGAAAAATGTGTGATTCACAATCTTCACCATTAAATTACTGAAGAAATGTCCATCACCCATGTCATTACCACCAGAAAGAAAACAGGACTGAATACAGAGAAGAAAGCATAAGCTGTGCTCTGAATGCAAAATAATTTGAAGAAAGATATGGAAAAGGGGGAAAACAGAAAACAGAAGAGGAAAGGACAATGTCAGCTGGAAGACTCTTTCCTCAGTAGCTTTAACTTCTATGTCATATAGACATCAAGTTCAACTCAACAAAGCCCTGTCCCAACTATATGGGGTCGGCTACATTAATCCTGTTCCACCATTCTTCTATGCTCAGTGCCATGTCCATGTCTTGATGTATGAATTAAAAAATTAGATGGTTATCGTAAGCCACCACAGAAACTTAAAAAGGAATATAAAACCAAAAGATCGAGCCATATTTGATTCAATTTGGGAGAACACAGACATTAAAAACAATAAAAAAAGAAAACAATAGCCACACCTGAAGTGAGTCCTCAGTATAGCATTCTTTAACCTTATTTAGGTTTGAAATTTCGACAACACAGCTTTCACTTGAATATTGGGTTGGTTTCCCATCTAACATAATTCTTGTAACAGGTTCAGCACTCTCTTGGGAACTTGACACAGACATACTAGCGGCAAGGGGGCTGCTAGGAGAGGTAGCACCACCAGAAGATGCAGCAATGTGGTTATCAAACAGTGGAACCAAAGCCCAAGCAAAAGACTCTCTGTAAGGCATGATTCGGGACCACACTTGAAGCTTCTGCCTTTCTCTCTCAGTTAAATGGACCTGTTAAAGTAGAGAAATTGCAATAATTAGAAATTATAAAGGTATCCAATAGCAGGATCATAGAAGTAAATTTGATACATGCCAATAGCAACTGAAAAGGATCTGAATTTGCATGTTATAAAAGTAAATAATTAGTTTAACAAGACAAAAGTTGCATATCTCGTCATCTCATTGTATTTTTTCACTTAAATGCAACATTAAGATTTTATTTTTTTAAAGAAATACAAAGTCATATAAAACATATAAGCAAAAAATTAAAAAAAAAAATATTGCGATCAGAAAATTAAAAAAAAAAGGATTTTGCCAAACAAAAGTTAATAAGTCCATTCCCAGATGCAAGTCATATTCTAAACAAGATATCATGGAGCTATGGGTGACCCATTACACCACTCTTATCTCACGACCCAGATTTCACCAGCTCATCATCGTAGCATTCAAGTATCTTGTTATCCATCTCATATCAGGATCAAAGGTCTGGTGAGTTTGAAGATTAGGGAGGCCAGGAAAGCAATGGTTTTTCTGGAAGGCCTTGGAGTGATTTAATGGTTGCAGGACTTCGTTACGTGAGCAAGCTCTAAAGGAAAGCAAGAAAACTACAAGGAGTTTCACTTGGAAGCAAGAAAGAGGTATGTGCTGGAATGCAAAAAAGAATGCCAAATGTTCCTACATAGCATTACAGGAACACTTTGATAAAAGAAGGAAGCAGCTAGTTTGCTTCCCTGAAGGAAAAAAGGGTCAAGGATGGAAGGAAATTATAGGGGTGCTGAGAGATTGTGTGCTTCGACTGAAATCCAAACAAGCAGAGTTAATGACAAAGGCTAGAGAGCTGGAGAGAAAATCTAGATTAGAAGATATCTCTGAGCAGAGTTTGGTAATTGTGGGAAAGGGAAGAAGAAACTGTAAGTTAGTAGCCTCAGCTGGAAAGGAGGAGTGGGGAAGGAAGTATGTGGTTGAAACACCAAGCCCACCAAAAGACTGAAGAAGAATAGCACAAGTGATTCTGAGTGGAGAAGAATAGCACAAGTGATTCTGAGAGGGTTAAGACTGAAGAACTCGATTGTTATCACACCCTATGACAGATGCAAGGCAGTGCTTGATTTGGGTGATAGTGAAGTAGAAATCATGGCAAAAAAAATTTCAGTCAGAGGCAGGTTCCTTCACTGTTTCAAATACAAAAATTATTGATATTGAGGATAATGTAACTGTCTGGTTGCTTGGCCTTCCATTCAACCTTTGGAAGCTAGATATGTTGCAGTCCATAGATTCCATATGTGAGGCCAAGTTAGATGTTGTTTTTGTCTATGATCTTCACTCAGCTGCGATAAAGCTTGGTGGAGTAAAACCTTGTGACATTCCAAGAAGGATAGATTTACTGGTGGATGGACTTCCATGCCCGGTTTGGCTGGTGACCTCCATTGAAGCTCGGTTGTGAAAGGAAGGTCGCAGGGTAGAAGATGAGGAGACAGAGCAGGTCTGCTTGAGAGGACTGCAATACAGAGATTTTAGCATAAAATTGGCGAAGTCAAAAGTGGAAAACAAAAAAGAAAAGAAGCAAGTTGATGATTTTAGCACCTGGGGAAACAATGTTGAGCGGAGAAGATAGACATGTGGCAGTTGCTATGCCCAGGTGGTGACAGGAGAAATTAATGCAAGGCATGCGCAGGAAGTTCAAAAGATTACAAAAATGGAGCAAGGATTGAGAGAAAATCAGGGTTTGGACCGGAATGGGTTTGAGTCAGGTGGATCATCTGAACCGGGGTCAATCACGTGACTCTTTAAGCAGTCATGTCGCGGGGGAGGAACATTTAAAAGGTGACACAATTGAAACAAATGGGCTGGTCAACAGATTCAGTGGGCCTCATACTCTAAAAGAGGCTGGCCCAGTTCTTAACAAGACACACGCTGCTTTAAAAGGGCACGTGACCAAGCCTGTTGGGGCAACGATGGACGCTAAGTTTGGTCCATCATCATCCCCTTCGAACACCCTTCAACTCTCTGCAACAGGAAACAGCAATTCGGCAGCGATTTCATCTTGTTTTTGGGTCCCAAGCAAAGGAAAACAAGCCATTTCCCCAGAACGACGCAATCCAAAATACCAGAAGCCTCCTTCGCATGCTCAATCGAAGTCTTCTGAGGTTTCAAAAGCGGCAGGTTGTAGTGAAACTGAATTCATTAGAGTGGAGTTCTCGTCGGAGGAAGAGAACTGTTTAGACTCCGACACTGAGGATACAGTTAGTCTTGGAAGCGTAGATCAGCAGATGTTAATGGCCTTTCTTGAGGATGAAGGTTTCAACACCGAACAATTGTTTCTAGAAGATAAAAGCTCGAGCTCGATAGAAGGTATCCAAATAAAGCCCTCTCAGTACCCAGTTTCACCCAAGGAAGCGAAGTTCAATGAGTTGATTAAATGTTGCGAGTTAAAGGAACTTCCTTTGCTACAAGCTCACTTTAGATGGTCTAATTACCAGGAAACCCCAACTTGTTCAAAGCTAGACAGATTTCTTTTTAATGAAAATTGGGAAAGTCAATTGGAGGGATTTGGTAGCTAGAGCTTTACCCAGAGTTACTTCTGACCATTGCCCCATTGAGTTAGGACAGGAACCTTTTAGGCTCGGTCCTCGATCCTTCAGATTTGAAAACATGTAGCTAACACACCCTGACTTCGTGAAGAAGATTGAAGAATGGTGGAGGGAAGATATAAGTGGGGTGAGGTGGAAAAGGGTGAGATTCCACAAAAAAACTAAGAAGTTTGAGATCAAAATTAAAGGATTGCAATAAAGACCACTTTGGGAGATTAAAGGAATCAAAATCATCTTTGCTAACCCAGATAGAGGAGTTAGATGGGAAGGAGTCCCAAAGAGCCATGAACATGCAAAGTGAGAATTGAAGTTGAAGGGGGATCTAGAAGAGGTACTACTAAGGGAAGAAATTTCCAGGAGGCAAAAATCTAGATGCAAATGAATTAAGGAAGGTGATGGAAACACTAAATTCTTCCATCAGATGTCCAATGGGAGGAGGAGGAAAAACTTGGTGACTAAGCTTGAAGTGGATGAAGTGACTTATGAGTCTCAAGAGAAGATAGCCAATTGTTTTGTTGCCCACTTCAAATCTATTCTAAAGAGGCCTCTAGGTAATAGGGTGGAGTTGGAAGGTGTTATTTGGCAAAGACTTTCTGAGGAAAATAAAGGATAGTTGGAAAGGCCCTTTGAGGAGGATGAAATTAGACTTGTTATCTTTTCTATGGATAGATCTAAAGCCCCAGGGACGGATGGCTTTACCATGGCTTTCTTTCAAGATTGTTGGAATGTCATTAAGGATGATTTGCTCAAGGTCTTTACAAGCCGAGGAGTTAATGCTACTTTTTTAGCCCTAATTCCAAAAGATTTTAGACCTATCAGATTGGTGACTAGCATTTACAAGATTTTGGCCAAGGTCTTGTCATTAAGGATCAAAAAGGTGCTCCCCTCAATCCCCAGTCAAGCTCAAGGTGCTTTTGTTTAGGGGAGACAAATAATTGATCAAATTTTAATAGCAAATGAATGTGTGGAGGAAATGCGAAGATCAGGTAATCAAGGCTTTGTTTGTAAATTGGGTCTTGAAAAGGCCTATGATCTAGTAAACCAACGTTTCTTGTTAGAGGTGCTCAAGAAGTGCGGGTTTAGGAATAAATGGTGTAAATACTAAATAGATGAAGGGATACCTTTCCTCTTGTCATTTTTTTGTTCTAGTCAATGGGGTAGTTAATGATTTTTTACCCAGCCTGTAGGGTCCTAAGACAAGGTCATCCACTATCCCCTTTCTTATTCACTTTGCTTGCTGATGCTTTTAGTAGACTTTTATCAAATGCAAATAGGGTTGGGTTATTAAGAGGTTGGAGAATAGGTAGAGATACAATTCCGATAACCCACCTTCAGTTTGCAGACAACATTATCATTTTTGTGAGGGTTGTGATTTGGTGGAAGTAAGAAACTTGAAGAATCTAATTATCCTCTTTAAGAATGCCTCTAATTTGAAAATCAATTTTGAAAAGAGTTGTGTGGTTAGATTGAACTTGGATGAAGGGGTTTTGGAGTCTATCGCTGCCTGCTTAGATTGTTCCTATTCCAAGTGGCCTTTGACCTATTTAGGACTTCCCCTAGGTGCCAACCCAAAGGAAAGTCAGTTTTGGAACCCTGTAGTGGAAAAGTTTGGAAAAAAAATTGGCAACTTGGAGGAGGAACTACATTTCTTTAGGGGGTAGAGTGACCTTAATAAAAGCTACACTGGCTAATCTTTCAATTTATTTCCTGTCAGTCTTTAGGATACCTAAGCAAAGAGGATTCAAAAATTGATGAGGGACTTCCTGTGGGAGCCAAGGGAATGAAAAAAGGATCATTTGGTTAGTTGGGAAGTAGTGAGCTAAATCAAAAAAGAAGGGCGGCTAGGGCTAGGACAGATAGCTAGGAAGAACAAAGTTCTTCTAGGTAAGTGACTTTGGAGGTGGCCCTTGGAAAGAGAGAGGTTATGGCATGAGGTGGTGGCTAGCATTCATGGTTGTTCTGAGACTAGTTGGGATGCGGGGGTATCTCGACGGGCTTCACTCACAACCCCTTGGAAGGCTATTTCAGGCACCCTCCTTAATTTCCTCAAGTATGTAAGATATGATGTCTACTCTAGTAATTCTGTTATTTTCTAGGAAAATATTTGGATGGGCTCTCAACCTCTAAAAGATCGCTTTCCCTCCCGTTACACTATCTCCCTCTTTAAAAAGGAGTCTGTTTCAAGATTTCTTTCTCCCCCAGTTCTCCCTTTGTCTTTGAATTGGAATTTTGGGTTTCATAGAGGTTTAAGGGATGAGGAATCTGATTGTGTCTCTGAGATCTTGCTTCTTTTGGACTTTGTTTGTTTGGACCTCTCTAAACCAAATAGAAGAATGTGGACCCTAACTCCTAATGGCTCCTTTACTTACGCTTCTTATCTCGAGTCCCTTTATTCTGCCCCTCCCTCTTTAGAGTTCCCTATCAAAGAAATTTGGTCAAGGCCCATTCCCCCTAAAGTAGTTGTTTTCTGTTGGGAAGCTTTTTACGGTAAGATCAATACTATGGATAACCTACAAAAGAAGAGACCTTTTCCTTGTATTACTATATCCCAAACTGGTGTATTTTGTGTAAAAATGCATAATGAGGATCACCACCACTTGTTGTCATCTTGTGTTTTTGCTGCTAATATTTGGAATTGGGTCTTTATGTTGTTTGGGTGCAGGTGGACCTTGCCCTCTGAAGTAAACCTGCTTTTTGATCCACCTACTTTTGGGCAGCCAACTAAGAGAGGGAAACTAATGTGGAAGTGTATCAGAGCAGCCATTTTGTAGACTATCTGGGAGGAAAGGAATTTTAGAATATTCCAAGAAAAGGAAAGAAGCATTGGTGAAGCAAAGAAGTGCATTATGACAAGAACAACTCATTGGCTAAAAACTTTAGATCTGTTCAGAGGTTATCTTTCGATGATCTCTGGAAAAGTTGGGCAGAGGTGGCCTCCATAGCCCTCTAAAAGAATATACTACAGATAGAGTGGAAACCTCCTACAGAGGGTGTGGTAAAGCTAAACTTTCATGGTAGCATCTAGGCAATCCAGGGCCTTCGGGAATAGGAGGGAACTTAAGAAATAAGGATAGAAACATCCTATCCCTATTATCAGGACCAGTGGGAGTTGGAGATTCAACAAGGGCTGAGATACTGGCTGCGGTGCAAGGAATACATGCTGCAAACCAACTAGGAGTGGAAAATCTGATAGTTGAGGGAGATTCTAAGGTGGTAGTAAGTTGGTTGTCGAATCCAGAAACAGTTCGATGGGGCTACATGGATCTTCTTAAGAAAGTTAATTGGCTCACAAGGAATATGTCAATCACCTATCAGTGGGTCAGAAGATCAGCAAATGCCGTGGCAGATTCTTTGGCAAAACAAAGGAGTCCCAAGGGTTAAGTTATTTTCTACCACTCTATGATTGTATTCAGTTAAGTTTGGTTTATGCTCTCACCTCTAAGGGGAGGTAACATCTCGTGCTTCCTCTTTGGGTGAATGTACATTCCTTTTCTTATTAAAACAATCATTTTTCACTTATAAAAAAAAAAACACTCTGACAGTGGATTTATCAAATTCAACTTGATGGTTATGTTTTCGGTAATATTGGGTGTCGAGCATTTCTTGTATTTTTGTAAACCAAGAAGGGGCCATTCTCTTGAGACTCCTAGATCCAGTGCAAGAAGGTAATTCACTAAGGGATGAACTGCTTACTCCTCTTCAAGGATAAAAGTTGGCTTTTTCTTCAGGCTAGACTGAGTTAATGGCAGAACATTGGTTGGGTTTACATGCTTGTGGATGAGCATCTAGCCCTTAGGTTTCTTACAAGAGAGCTTAGAGTATTAGCTACTAGCTTGAATAGTTTGTTTGGGTGGATTCTCAGGTCAGCTAATGCCTTGGCTGATTTTCTTACAAGAGGGTGGGTTCCCATGTACATGAGGATCATAGCTGCAACAAGCCAATTTTTGCTGCAATGTGATTTGTATTGTTAATGATTTTGGTCAGCAATAAGCAATTTGTACATCTTGTTCCTAGCTGTTGGAATGTATCAGCATATCTCTGTTTCTTATCTACTGATAAATAAAAAACTCTTTAGATCATTGTTATTGGTCAGAAAAGAACATGAAAAAGATGTCCCAATTTAGAAAACATTATATAAGTGTGGAGTTGCATTAAGTAAGGATGTTCTATAATTGCAAAGAACAAGATGTGTATAAACCACCACCACCACACCAAAAAGGAAAATTAATATTTCTTAGAGAGAAAAGGATAACTTTCATTAAAAACAGATAATGTACATGAGGAGATGTACAAAAATCACCAAGGATTTACAAAGGCATTGAGAATCACTATGAAAAAAAATCCCTCCTCACCCCAGAGGAATCTCTAAGAATCCATCTAAAATGACAAAAAACCGAGGACAACAGGTCTTTGATTTCATTAAAGATGAAGCTGAATCTCCATGGACCATCTTCTAAATCCTTCATACAGCTGGTAACCATTTTAGAATCTCCTTTCACCACCAGATCAGTTAAATTCAGATTAACTGCAGCTCTCAAACCCACAAGCAAGGCATGAACTTATGCTTCTGGCCTTCTGCTGAGTCTGTTATACCAATCAATCCACTGAACACCCAGAGCAGCTCACCGTTACCTTTAATAATTTGACCCCCTATCCCAGCCTGTTCCCTATGGCTCAAAACACATATGCAGCTGCCATCAAATTGAAGAATGACATGCACCAGAGGTCTGGGGGACTAGGGGGCGGCCAAGAATTAATAATATTTAATATAGGCAATGTGACACATTTAGAGGCTGTTTTGTATCGGTGGTGTTTAACCAATAAACATTTTATACGAAGTTGCCTCAAAAAACAAGAAAAAAAATTGCCTTTATACATTTTCTTACAACTCAGCACCACTAGGTGCCATTAGGAACCACATGCATCAAACAGTAAAAAATTGCCCATAGATCTGAAAGAATGTCATTTTTGGCATTTTTCTGATAAACAGCTCTCACGTAATCAGAGAGAAACATTTATCACTTAAACGGCTCAACCAAACAATAAATGGGTCATTTTTCTGTAAAATGCCTATTTGGCGCTGAGCTGGAACCATTGCTCCAAAAAACGCCATCCATACCAAACACCATCTAAGTCTGGAGAATGAATATTAATTTTTCAAGAGATCAAAAACATGCTTACATGATTGTAAAATGAGAAAACAACTAAAATAAAGAACAAGAAAAAAGAAACAGAAAACAGAAATGAAGTGCAAGATAGTCTAGAGATGGCACAAAGCAGAGCAGAAACATCCTTTAACTTACTGGTTCTTTGCGTGAATATACAGAAGGAGTAACCCCTCCTTCTTCTGTTGCTGGCCTCTCTAGCTGTATCAGCAGGCAAACTGCTGGTGATGGAGCATCTAAAGAGAAAACACCGTGTCGCTCAGAAGAAAGTCTATCCTGGCAAGTGAAAACAAACAACAAAAAATTAACTTTTCTTAACCATCTAAAACAAACTAAGACATCATAGCAACAAATTACTCCATACCAGAACCCTAAAAAGCACAAACAGTTGAAGGAGTCAAGACTCTTAAGAAGCAAAATAAAATAAATACTATCAATAATCTTCCAAGCTTACATCCTGTATGTCTGTTGGTAGCACACGAAAATAGAAATCCTCCGACAGTTTCTCTCTTCTCTCTCTATTATACAAGCAAATTGTACCATAAAATGGCTCTACAAGACAGACAGATTTAGATAATATATCATTAGAAGAGTAAAGCAGCAAGCAAAAGTCAGTAAAACCAAGGAGGGACAACAGAAAGATCATTTTAAGGACTAAAACTTACCAACAAGCCCAGCCTGAAATGATAATGACAAAAGTTTCACAGAGATCTTCAATCCACTGGGACAAAGAAAGCAGCACATTTAAATACCTCAAAACAAGGTGTTTCTATAAAAACACGAGAAAAAAATTGAGCCTGGCCACCACAAAATTTGACACTATTTGCAAGATACTCATGAAAAAAATTTTATTCTGAAATATACAGTTAAACCTTTTATACTGCATTGGATGACTTTCTGGAGTCCTTTGCCCAAATATTTTTGACCTCTCATTTTCCCAATCAAAAGCTGGCTCATAAGCAGGCAATGGAGATTCACCAAAATGCTGGAAATACATTTTTCAAGAAGAAAAAGAACAAAATCCATGTCAAGTTTATGTTGTAATGAGTAGAACAATCACTATATCCCAAAATCCAAAAAGGTAAAGAATAAGGAATGAAAACAAAATTAGCCATTTTGTGCATAAGGGTCTCATTTATTGATATTTGGTGCTGTGGTGCATACCTTCAAAACCTTTGAGTACAGCATGTTAGTTGAGCCAATATCTGAGGATTGCCTTCCTGAGGTGCTAGGAGCATCATCATCAGTAGCATCTTCAGCCTTGGAATGCCTTACATTGGCAAGACGCATCTCTGCAGCCAGATCGAAAGGAACAGAAAAAAAGTTGACAAGTCACAAGAGGAAAACATGAACTCCTCTCTGGCAACTAGCACAAAAGAGTAACATTTCCATTAACCATTCAGAAAGTAGCCACAAGCAAATCAGTCTGGACTCCAACAATACAGGTTAAACTTCTGTCCAGAAACCCCTTGAGATATGACCAGCCAAGGGCAGGAGTTTATCGTGGTCTATTGGTCAAACTGAATCTCTTCACAGACAATTTTTTTTATCAATAACAGGAAGATTTTATTAAGTTAGCAATAAATATAGATTTACAATCCAGGCAATAACACAGCCCTGCCCAGTCAATTACATCACAGCCCAAAACAACTAAATCTCTTCACAGATAAATTAAGGCTTACAAGTTGTGTAAATATAATATATATATATAATTATATATATATATATTTGGAAAAAGATTTCATAATCAGATCAAGTATAGAAGCCTGACCAAACAACTACTCTATTTCTGCCACAAGGATAGATAATGTAGACTATCCAAATTGCCCACTGAGTAAAGAACCCTCTAGATAGACCACATGCTTAATCCCCCAGTCTACCCATATATCCACCTTGTATTGGTGACTTGCCCAATTAATATAAGCTAACAGAGTTTTTGAGAAGTAATACAAGCCACCAAAGTATATTTTTTTTAGCATAACAAACGTTGCATATATAAGAAAGGGATTATTTTAGAGATATGGCACTTTTTGGGGGACAAAAAGTTTACCACATGGAAGATTCCTAGGTCATTTAGAAGCTTCCCAAAGCAACTCAACTAGCAAACCTATTCCCTATAATGTACATTGAGCAGTAAAAACAGTCCCTAGAGAAACATATTAGCTATTTAGTTCTCATCAAACTACTCACCCGTTTCTACATCAGTATCAGGCCCTTCAAATAGCTGATTTTGAAACAAAATAGGAGATATGCTTTCATAGTGCCCATACTTGTTTTCATCCTTTACCCAATCTGCCTTATAGCATTGAACCAGTTCATTGAGATGCGGCCACTGCTCCAAATTTTCATTGAGCTGACAGAAAAACAAAACGTAAATGGCATTTACATGGAGAAGAGAAAAGTGTTTCTTTTGCTTACGCAGAGTAACAAGCATTTCCACATAACATGATGAAATTTCATGAATCTATTTGACTTGAGATACTAGCAATGGACTATTGAGTGTTACCAAAGATGTTGGACAATAGATGTGCCAAGACATATAGCTGGTTACCCACCGGCTGTGTGTGTGTGCAGATATGTGTATGTCACATGCAAGAAGAGACACCGGAAGCAAGAAAGCTCAAAAGCAATACCAGATCATCACAATTTAATTACAAATTGCCCTCCCTCCCACCATTCCAACAGTGCCCCTCCCTTCAGAAGAAGCACTCCATATTCATATTTTCATTAATAGAAAATTTTAGATACATGAAACATTCCATCTCTAGTGCTGAGAGGAAGAACCAATATGGTACAAAGAACAACCCTTCACTGCAACTCACTGACGATTTTATACATCACACTCCATGGCAAGTCCATCCTCCACTAGGAACAGAATCTCCAATTCTTTTTAATCATTAACAGAGAAGTTTTTTTTCCTTTTTTGGATAGGTAATCTGAAGGGTTTCATCAACAGAAACAAAAATACTACATATATATAACAGTACTCGCCAATTAAGGGTGAGGCTGTGTTTTTCCTCTCTTTGGCTGATTGTACACTCTATTAAGAGTGAGGCTAAACCTCACGCCTCCCTCAGGGATGCTTGTAACAGTTCTATCTTTTGATTTAATAAAATAATCTTTCAATTATCAAAAACAATAACAATAACAACAGTACTTTCCAATTGGAGTACAACCCATAGTAAAACAAATGGAGCCACACACTCCATCTCAGCAAAAGCATAGCCAAAACACAGGATCAAACCCACAGAACTGAAGGCTCAGTTGCACCTGCTCTGTCCCCAACTCATGCCCCTACTAACCTCTGACCAACTAACCTGACTATTCAGATACCAAAAAAAAAGAAAGTTTCCATCACCCTTACTCTAGCCTTCTGACTGTCATCCCAAAAGGGCCAGAGTACAGCTTTTTCTCGATCACCCTCCCCCATGCAATTGTTCTCTCCAATCCCCCTCATGTTAATTCATCAGCTGAAGGGTTAGGACCTTGATGGTTATCCAATCCATCCAATCACCATTGCTGAATCCCACTTGATCTCCAAACTGTAGGCCAAATATTCTTATACTTTTTTCATCAATATAAATTATGCATATCTTATTTTTTTGGTATTTAATGCAACACATTAATAACTCTCAAAGGTGGGAATAGCAGGACTCCCAAATCTTCTTATACTGCTCAGTCAGCTTCCACATTTTTGCAAACTTTTTCACTTGTAATTAACTTCAACTGGTGCTGTCCAAAATCAGTGGTCGAGCTACTTCAAGGGCAAAAAGGTGAAAGGTTTAAAAAAGGCAGGATCTTGTGGAGCATCATTACTTTAGCAGTAATTACAACTTGGAGAGAGAAATTTCTTGAAAGCAAGATCTCTACAGAGGAGAGGGTGACTAGGAAGGCAGTAGGAAAGGTGATTTACATATAACTCATGTACAGTGACCTGATTTTGGCAGATAACAATAAACTTTTTTGGATAAATAATACAATAATTTACCATTATCAAAACAATTATCAAAAAAAAAACTACCATTATCAAAAGATTGATCAAAACAATTACCATTATCAAAAGAAATTACACATAACCCAGCTGCCCCCATATCCTTCCATCCATTTCATCCCTTTTCAGATCCCTAATTAAAGTATTCTAAATCCCAATTGCCATCAAAAGTTGTCATGATTATGTACTTTTATCAATTCTACCCCTTCCATACCATTAATTCCCACAAATTTACAATAGTTTTACTTATTTTCGCATCAATGTGGCTTTTTCCCTAAATTTCCCCACTAGTCCTGCATTAATTTGTCCCTTTTTACTCCATGGCAAACACATGTGGGTCTTAAAGTACTCTATTGTATACCTCATTTTCATCATCACCATCATCTAAGCCTTGTCCCAACTATATGGGGTCAGCTAATATGAACCCTGTTTTGCCATTCTAGTCTGTTCAGTGCCATGTCCATCATCAAATTATGGGCACTTAAATCATTTCTTACTGCTTCTACCCAAGTCCCTTTCAATCTACCACTAGCTCTTCTAGCCCCTTCAACTTGTAACAGATCACTTCTTCTAATGAGTGATGTAGATGATCTTCTATGCATGTGACCAAACCACCTGTATCTAGTTTCTCTCATTTTATCACCTATTGGAGCTACTCCTATGTTCCTTCTTTTTTTTTTTTTTTTGATAGATTACTCCTATTTTCCTTTTGATTCTGGTTTTACTACTCATCCAATCATACGCATTTCTGCCAGTCATTTTTTGGACATGTTGTTTTGATCATTAAAAACATCACAATAGCAATCACCAAGGTTCAAAGTATCGGAAAGACAATTTTAAGAGATGTATCGGGATACGCCTTGGATGCGCATGCGTATCGGAGAAAAACTAAGATACGCTTGGAAACACTATAAATACTTTAATAAATCATAAAAATACATCAACAACACTAAATATAAGACCTCAATGAGGTGTATATACATTAAATTAATATATTTTAATGGTTTTATGAAGAAATATATTGTAGCTAATTATTATTTCATCAAAAATCCTATGCCTAACTATAATTTATAAATTATAATTCTTAAGTTTTAATGTTTTATGGGATGGGAAAAACCCAACTCTCCTATCCAACCATAAAACATGCATTGACACAACTTCTATGTGAAAATATAATTAATAATTATTTATTATTTAAATAATTATGATTTATTATTCATTTCCAAAAATTATAAAAATAAATAAACATTATATAATATATTCAAAAAATAGTTATTAAAGAAGAAATTTCAATTGCTTTGTGGATATGATAGATCATCCATAGAATTATAATATATTCAATCATTGTGATCAAATGATAAAATATAATTAATTATTTATTCATTTTTTAATTCTAAAAATATAAAAATAAAAAAAATATTAAAGAAATTTCAATTGGTCTGTGGATATGATAAATCATCCATTGAATTATAATATATTCAATTGTTGTGATCAAATGATAAAATATAATTAATTATTATTTATTTTTTAATTCTAAAAATATAAAAAATCAAAAAATTATATTAAAGAATAAATTTCAATTGCTCTATGGATATTATAGATAAATCCATAGATCTAAAACATATTTAGTCTTTATAGGCAAAGATAAAATTACATTTTCAAATTTTTTGTTAATTTATATTTCCCCAAATATCTTCATGAAATTTCCATAAATCTACTAATAACACAAAAAAAGTGTGATTTTGAATGTAAGAAATGTAGATCAACATAAATTTAAGCATTCAAGAGAAAAAAGAAATCACAAGATATTATAAAAAATTGAAAAATTTACCAATTTTGCCATATTTTTTCAAAATTTGAAAAATCTTTAAAAAAATAACGATTCACACTTGTTTCTTGCAAAATTTTGCAAATCTAGCACTCTAGGAATGAATTTTGGAGTTTTAGAGTCATTTGGGGGTGAAAGAAGGCTTATTTCGGGGAAAAGAAGCTCGCTTTCCCCCTTTATTTTTTTTTTTACTCTTTGGCCGTATCTTTTTTGTCGATATGCTACCGATACGCCCCAATACGGGTCCAATAAGCATGAAAAAAGACGAAATGTCCGATTTCCATGCATATCCCGTATCTATTTTTCATAGATACAATACGATACGCCCTGTATCGGGCATATTGTAGCGAAATTTTAAACCTTGGCAATAACAATAATAGTTACAAAAACCTTGCATTTGGTGCTGACTTTTGATTGACTTTGGACTTATTTATTGATGGTGTTTAGCAGGTTATTTTTCTCTAAATTGGACCAAAAACTTTTTTTAGGTTAAATCTCTTCATCTGTTGTTCTTTTGTTTTGTTTAATAAAGTTATGCTTTATTACCAAAACAAATTTAATATGACAGCAACCAAAAAGAAAAAAAAAATATAACCTCCTAAACACATGAAAAAAGGAGGAGAAATAATGGCAACAAGATCTTCTCAAACGTGCAACTTCTGATTACAGAAATTTTAAAACTTTATCAAGTCCACCACAATAATCATTCCTTTTTTTTTCCTTTAACAGTCATGACTTCATTATTATTTGATTGGAAATAGGAAACATACCAGTGGATCTAACTCTGGACAAGAATCAAATAGTTGGTGTGGTATTCTTCTAAACCGATGTCCACCAGATGGTGATTCTTCCATTGCCTGAAACCACAATCAGAGATGATTAAGTACATATAATATACAAATATGGAATCACTGGCAAACACTGTCCAACCAGAATTACCAAAGAAAAAATTAACTAAGAAGCAAATAGAAATGGAAAGAAACAGGTCGTTCTATCCAACCAGGACTGGATTCTAGTACATTCTCCCACCCTGTATTCCACTCCAAAAATGAGAAGTCAAAAGGTTTTTTTATGCCTATCCACACAGAACATCCATAGGATGAAGTAACCAGGTCAGGATCCTGAGATCATGTATGGACCAATAGATCGCAGCAGTTGATCACTAATGAAGAACCCATATCAGAATCAATCCTCCGAGGCTCTGAAAGCATGCCAATGTAACCAAAAAAACAAGTTTCTCCACCAAAGCTAATCTTGCAATTTTTGCATAATTATAACTTTGGTCAGTTTATTTTTAAGAGTTACTTTCTAGTGTGTTGATGTCATAGGAATAGAGAGAATTAGAGAAAATGTCTTAAAGGGTCAAAGACTAAAAGCCGCCTAAAGAGTAAGTAGAGAACATTTGGAATTTTGAGTAGTTAAAGTTTTAGGTTCCTCATTTTTCTTTCTGCCAAATTTTCAGGGGACAACTTGTCTATTTTCTTGACTTTGGTGCCATTGGATAGCTTCCTTCAGTTACCTATTCAACTCAGCCTTAACCACAACTATTTTGAATCAGCTACACGAATCCTGTCAGGTCATTTTGCACCATTAAGAGCCACATTTTCTGTCAAATCAAAATTCTTTAGATCATTTCTTACCAGTTCAGAGTCTTCAGACAACATTTTCATTGGTCATACCTTGCTCTTTTCAAGCCTTCTATAGTTCTACTTACACCAAATCAACCCTTCTCACCAGTGAAGTCATTAGTCATCTATGCACATTATCAAACAATCTCAACAACTGAGGACCTGGTCTAAAGTCCTGGAGAAAAACCATCAAAACCAACCCAATTTCCACCCAGGTTCAAACTATGTTTCTCAGTAAGTTTCAAGTGTGTTAATAAGATATAGAAAAGTACAAATAAAGCTTTAAAATAACTTTGTTGTTGATTAGGACAACTAGTTGTCATTTGCCTTGTCAATGTAGTTAATGGACAATTGTCCAGGTGACTAAATCATGGGTATTGATTGACTAGTTAGTGATGCATCAGCATGGGCCCTAACTGACAAGTCAGGAACTAGAGATTTGATTTTCTTTATCAGTTTGATGATTCTTCGATAACAATGTATACACTACAAAGAATGAAAGTGTTACCAGGACACCTCAAGAACACAACCATGCGAAAACTTTATACTTGGCACAACACTTCTTGTGACGTCTTGATAATGCTCCAACTGAAGTTAGCAAAAAACTTTCACTAATGACTTGTCAAAAATTTTATCTTCTTATTTTCCTATGCCTTCATTTTGGTTTTTTTTTGTATAACTTGTATTTTTTCCATGTCCCTATTCCATGATTTTCAAAGGTTGACATGACGGATGCTGGCCCATGGACACCTGGGTACTTTGGCAGCAGTTTCATGCACCAATACAATAGTGGATTGCAGTGTCCCCATTGTAGAATGCATGCTCCTCCTACACAACCCTATGATCCCTCTAAAACACATCTGTTTCCATTGTTGAACTCAAAAATCTAAAGTCCTTTAGATGAGCAAAAGAACTCCACACAACAAACATTCACATTGCAGAACCGTACCTTTAAAGTCATTCTCCCCAAGTTCCCTCAACCCTCTAGTCCTCTACCCAAGCAAAGATTTTTAACTTGTTCAAACATAACTTCTAAGGTACATAGTGGCAGACAACAAACTAGATCCACTAGGTAGACAATACCTAAACCAATAATCCTAGCTAACAAATAAATGATAAACAAGTTCAAACACCGAATCCTTTAGTCTATCGGATTCAGCCATCAAATGTCCAATATCACTAAAACAAAGTAAAAGAACAAAAGAAAAATAGCAGCACGTTTGCATTGTAAGTAAAACTTCTTCAGCACCAATCCCCTGCATTATGCATCCCCAAAGGAAAGATAGAAAAATAGTGACAAAGTATAAGGGGTATGAGCTACATTTCCAAAAGCAAGCAACAAAATAAACCGTTGCAACAACCTTTAATGAAGATATAGCAAGGGACACCACACCGTTTGTTTGGTAGCAGAACAGGGAAGTGCAGATACACTAATGCTCCCTCCAAAGCAAAACACCAGAAGCCAGCGTTCTAGGTGGAAGTTTGGAACTGAAGCTGGAAGCTCCCTTTCTGCCCCCTACACTCTGAGGTTTTGATTTCGAACTAAAATGTACCGAAGTAGAAGAAGAAGATGGATAGTACCTCAAGCACAGGAGATGGTTCAGAAACGAAATGAGTTCAGCAACGCTGTAGCAGTCGAATTTTCACAACTAAATGGCTTGAGATCAAAGCGTGGTGGTCGGATTCTCAGTCACAAAGTCAACATTGAGCCACCTACTCTCCTACTCCAGATCTGCGGTCTACTAAGCTCCATTGCACTCGCCGTTCCTCTAGGAGCTCAACTATAGGATTTAGTCAAGGGAGGATCCATAAATCAGACGGTATCGTTGAATAAGTTGTCAATTCAGGCTACAACCACCAATGGTTATGGCATGTCATGAAGACAAATTGATACTTCCTGGCATGATTTGCACATAGAATGAACTCAAAATTAGGGTTTTAAGGGATCTCTTGCACCTTTATTTTAAGTGATCTATCACATTTCGTTCTCAGAGTAGGATCTGACACAGAGCAGGTCTGAACGTCAGATTTCATCATGCAGATCAAAAACCCTATGAATCTCAAAGAAAAATACATACAGCGAATCGTCTGAACCAGATCTGTCCGAATCTTAGCTCCGTTGCCCTCGCCAGACCGGGGTCGACCGTTGGACGTTATCGCCGCCGCTTCTAGGGTAAGAACCGAGGTAGCAACGGCTCTCTAGAAGGGGAGTGAAGAGAAAGGAGGGTAAAATAACTGTTTATCACCTCCAGCGAGACAAATTAACATTGCTTTTCGCGACGCAAATTTACCACTAACCAGTTAACCAGCGACCCTTTTTTCTTTTGGCGCTCAAACTAAGTGTAACCAGTGCGAGCAGCAGCAGGCAGCAGAGAGCCACAGACCCTGCTGATGTTAAGAATGTCCTTATTCGTGTGTTTTATTAATTATTTAAGGTAATTTTTTATACATTCTCATTTCTTTTGTAAATCTTCATTTTCAGGATTTTTTACGTAGCTGAGATGCCTAGCCTCCTGGTCTTGGTGCTATTCAATCTAGCCACATTAGCGGACAGAAACCTTGTTCATGCAATTGAGATTTGAGAAATGCTCTCTCAAACTCCGAGCCCCAGAGGTGTTTGACGGATGCTTTTTACTGTGAATCAGAAAAATCCAATCCTTCAATTAAGCCTCATTTTTTGTTAAAATGTGTCTGGTCGAGATTTTTGCTTATTAGGCGTTTGGTCTTTAAAGTTTAAAGTGGTTTGTTTTTTATATTGATAAATTTTGTTTTTATTGGAGATGTGACATCTCAGAAAAGTACTTATGCTTTCTACTTTTTTGTTTTTAACGTGAAGCAAGTTGGCAAGGCATTGCTGCAACGCCCTCCTTGTGTAGATGCGTTAAAAACTTAAAATGGTGATTCAAGTTCATCCTCCCGCTCAATGTCATAACTCATAAGAGAACCATTGAATCACCGTTTCTGCATGAATCAGTATTACCAAGCATGTTTTTGTTGTTTATGCTGCATAAGTGCTGACGTAGAAGTTGGTATAACAAATTGCTCATGGGTGAAATTTTTGTCAAACACCATCTCTTATGCGAAGGGGCGTTTACTGTTTACTGTTTAGCTTCTCTGAACACTATTTTGAATTTTTACAAGCTTAGATGAGGATGAAAAGCAGAAATAGCTCTATAAAGCTGTGTTTGGTTTAAAAGAGAAGGTAGAGAAAGGTAGAAAAACCTATAATAATTTAATGTGATGCATTATAATGTAAACTATGAAAATCAAGATGTCAGGATTAAATAAACTTGATAGCTGTTATAAATGCAAGTGAGGGATTGAATGATTGTGGGCCATATGCACTTTATGGCTGGCGTGGAATAAAATAATTGGTCCCAAAGCCTACAAAAATATCTATCAAGCTCAAGCTCAGCTAATCCATTCTCCCTAATACAACCATAGATGAGATAGAACACAATAGTTGTTCAGCCTGTTGAACAGCTATTGAGTTTCTTATTTTTTATTTCAAAATCTGAATTTGCCCAGCCTGAAGGCCTGGGCCCAAAACAGTATAAAATGTTAACCTGAGCCATTCGGAGGCTTTGTGTTGCTAATTAGCCCAGTAGTTTTTCTTTTCTGGTAATATAAATGACTCAGTCGTTGAGATGTTCACTTAGCAACCCTCCACATATAGAGGTTTGAGATCAAAACTGTGTAAATGCAGGCTCACTCAAGGTTAGTGGACCTTATGTACACCCTGAGCTATTCCCACCCTATAATCCCGTGTAACATGTAATATTTAAGGCCATTCTTTTTTTTTTTTTTTAAGGCAATGGCTAATTTCATTAAGAATGCTGAGAAACTCAAATACAATTCATGAGAGTACAATCAGCAAACAAAAAAGAAAAGATAAACCCAATACAAATTGCAATAAATCCTGAGCACCAAGAAAATTTCTTGTAAGCGCTCTACAAACGGCGCAAAAAGATGGAAACGCCAATAAAGGAGGACTGACCTCCAACAGAATCAAAACTCCACAAGAAACTCCCAAAGATGTGGGATACACAGAAAAATTTGCCAAAGTCACCTGTTCTAAGGCAATCGCAATTAAAAACTTCAGACTTAGAGGTGAAAAGAAGAGAGTCAACCATTGTCTCACCCAGGCTTGGACGTAATAGTTATCTTGCAAAGTAAAACTCCTTCCAAGGCAAACCGTCCCTAGGCATGAGGCAAGAAAAAGCCACATCCCCACTAAAAGATAAGATGGTCCAAAAAAAGTGCCAAAAAACGGTTCCTCCAATAACTGAAAGGCTGGATAGTGCCGGAAACTGAACAGAAACGATTGAACTGCACCAGAAAGATATGCTAGAACAAAGAATAATCCTCCTCACTTAAGAACAACTCCCTGGAATACACCACACCAGAAAGCATCCCAAGGAAGAGGATACGCCCAAACATAAAATCGTCAATAAAGCATCCACATATTTCTTTCTAGAATAGACGTCACCATTCAAAGCAATTTTAGAAACAACCACATCTTCAGCCTTCATGAAAATAAAGCCAATGAAGAACAAGTCGTAGAGGATGAACCACTTCTCATAACAAAGATCAAGCCATCATATTTTGAACTTATAGGGAGAAACCAAAGGAATAAGAAAACAATCGACCAACAAAAGAAAACACCAAAAAAAAAGCAAATAAAACAACAAAAATTCACCCTGTCTATCAAAAACCTATCGTAATATAGGAAAACTTGCATCAAGCGATGGAAGAGGGATACTCGCATCGCTGATGTGAGAGGGAGAGACCCCATGTGATATTTGGTCAATGGGATTTTGGTTCCTATTTGAACAAAACACCCATGTTCTTTTTTCAGATTTATGTGGGGTTTAGGACAAGTAATACCCATCTCCTAGTCCTATGTGGGTAAATAACTTTCCCACGTTAACGGCTAAAATATCCATTTTCTTATTTACTTGAAAAATAAAAGAATAAAGATAAATGTGCTTACCCAAGTAAGTGTTTCCCATGTAACTTCCCAAAAAGAAAACGAGGCCTTAATACAAAGAAAAAAAGCTCATGTATATTGAACAAATTAATATGGCTTCCATGACAATGTTATTTCACATACAAAATACAAACATGGTTATTTCACATCATCCCATTATCTCTTGTCCCCTCAAAGTTTCCCTTTTTCTTTGTTTTCTAGTAGAAGAATAATGAAATTATTTGGCTTATAAGTTGGACCTATGTAGCCAATTCTTTGTATAAAGTAAACCCTGCATCTTACTATATTATATTTCCCTTCCTAAATTCTATCTTATTTAACCATTTAGATGAGGAAGAATCAAAAGAAGATTGAGATGAGAAAACTCGTGCAAAAACAAAAAGAAAAATGCAATGGAAAGTGTTCACTTTTGTTGATGCTCGGGATGGTCGAGGACAATAAAGTAATTTTTCCCCTAGACTCCAAGGCTGGCCGAAGGCTTTGAGGGTTCAGAGAGCTTGTGACGAGGCCGAGGTATGTAGGCCAAAGCGGAGAGGGCTCCGAATACTGTAGAAGCCGAAGGCAAGTGGTCAAGGTGCTTCAAGGCATAATACGTCAGAGGCCCTAGGTGAGAACCCGAGGCAGAGTCTCCGACAGTCAAGTTAGTATGGGGTACAAACAAGGGAGTTAGAATATAGCTTTTGAGATCAGTTCCAAGTTCAGATGCAGATTGTATTCAATCCCTCTTACCTGGAGGGGGGCACCCCTATTTATACTTGAGTTGCCTGGAGGTAGGTGGAGATGAACGCCTAGGATGGGTGTCGTACGAGGGCAGTAAGAGTGCTCTACGGGGACGCGTGGGCGCTCCGCGATTGGCTCCGTACGAGGGGGAGCACATCACTAGTGCTCGTGGGCTGGGCCTCCCAGCCTCAAATGGGCAAGGTTGGGTCACCCCACATCACTTGCCACCCACTCCCGAGGCTGAGGAGAAAAAATTTGGCTTCGGCTTATGGGAGTAGTAATGGTGAGCACCAATGGTCCTGGCAGCCGAGGTGTACCCTACAGCGGCGTCCTCTTTCGCATCTTTTCCTGGTTCATCTTTGTAAGTTGGGCTGAGGCTGTGAGTGGTTTACACTACTACTGCTTCGGACAAGTAACCCAGGGGGCGTGCTCAATGCGGACGCTCTGGTGCCGCCATTTGGGCTGAGGACCTGTGAAGCCGAAGGCTGTTTAATCCGAGGGCCTATGAGGTCCGAGGATTCATGCACAGGATGACTTTCTGGTCGGACCGGTACGCATAATCGCGTGGCCAGGTCACATAAGCCGGTGGTTCATAGTGGGCAGACACGTCAGTTCACCCTGAGCGTCATTTCGCCTTTTGAGGACGGGTGTTCGGGGGTGCGGTGCGACTAGATCGCAGGTATGGAGGCATTTTGCGTCCGTTGGATCAGGGATGATTTGTGTCGTCGCTAGCACATCGTTTCGCCTTTCAAGGGTGAGAGTTACGTGGCGCACCATGATTGGGCTATGGAGGCGGTGGATCTCGAGAAATCTAGGCCATTCGTTCTTCTTAAAATAGGGCCCTTAGCGACAGCATTCTTATTGTTTGCCTCTAAGCGCCTTTGCCTTCGAGTGAACTCAGCTTCCAGACTCTCAAACCTTCAACACTTCACTCTCACTCTTTCTTCCTCCACATTTCTTAGGTAACTTTAAACGATGTCTTTCTCAGATTCTAGTCCTGAGTGATATGATCTTCCGAATGAATCAGAAGGGAGATCTTCCTGTACCTCTTCTCTCCTTTCCCCTTTGAGTCATTCTACTCTTGCCCCCCTTCGGTAGGAGGTTGAGGTTCTTCGGGGGAGGGTAGCCCATGAGGGTGCCGAAGGCAGCCATCGAGGCGAGGACCCTCCCTGTGAGAGTGCCACTTCTGTGACACTCAGGGAGGCCGAAGGGTCCTGCCCAGCCGAGAGGGAGGGAACGCTATACCATGTTCCTGGGACGAGGGCTACCCAGGCAGTAGCTGAGGCTAACGTCCTCTGCCTGGGTCTCGAGAACTCTCTGGATGAAGACTAGGTCAAAGCTCTATCAAGGCTACTCTTCATTCCCTCGCCCTATGGTATAAGGGTGCCCGAAGTAGGCAAATGGCCGTAGACTCCTAAGGAGGGGGAGATCTGCGTCTACCAACATTTTCTCCAATTCGGTCTTCGGTTTCCCCTTCATCTGCTGATATCCAAACTACTGAGGGCGTATGGGATTACTCTTAGCCAGCTGGTGCCCAACGCCATTAAGACCATAGTGGCCATGCTGGTGGTGGCTTGGTTCCAGGGGGTGGAACTGACACCAAGGCTCTTCCGAGCGTTGTTTGTGCCAAGGAGGCATTCTTCCGAGAACAACATGTACTACCTCCAACCCCGTAGGACCAAGCTGATAGACAACC